CACGACATTCGGTTGTCTGTGAAGGGTCAAGTATATGCTGCAGCAGTTCGGCCAGTTCTGCTTTACAGCGTAGAGACTTGGCCATTACGGGAGCAGGATAAAAATAAATTTTCGGTGTTCGAACACCGCTGTCTACGTAGCATTGCATTTGTCTGGTGGGGTAACCGGACTAGCAATGCTGAGGTTAGGCGTAGAGTTNTCCACTGGAACAAGTGATCGACCTCCATAGATTACGCTGGTTGGGACATGTGTTACGTATGTCACCAGATAGGTTGCCGTGGCGAACGATGTCTGCCAAGGCTGGTAGCGATTGGAAAAAGATGAAGGGTGGTCAAACTGAGACCTGGCATGAGGGTATGAAAACCCTAACCAAGAGACTAGGTTACATAGGCCCCGTTAGGCTCCCTGGCTGGGGACCTCGGGATGATGGTCACCGATGGTTAGCTACACTGAGTGGTATGGCTGGGTGTCGCAAACACTGGCGCTCGTGCATCCACTCTTTATTCTCCTAACACCACTATATGAATTCCCCATCTTCCGCTTGAATTTCCTTCGACACTCCAATCTATATTTTGCTCTTTTATCCAGATGGGCAACAAAAACCGGCGCACGAAAGTGCATGGTTAAAGGTTGTAACAACTGAACTGAACTCCATGCAATGGGGCCGGAGTTGGAATCCCGGACGGGACGGTGGACATACACCACTGATGAACTCCAGTAATAGCGAAACTCGAGTCTAGTGCTTCCAAGTGTACAGTTGAATCGATGAACTAAGGATCGTGCGTGAAGGTGAAATCCTAAGGACAGTCAGCTCAGATCAATTATATATTATTGTTGATGTCTAAAAGGATTGCACATGTTACCACTTAATGTAGGAATCGGATAGCTATAGTATTCCTGCACTATGATCCACCTCACCCGTTCCCCCATCTAGTTCAGCTTTGAATGTTGGAAATCAGCGAGTCGATAGTCGACCGGCTGGCTCCCTGAACTTTGCATACAATCAGTGGTCTCAATTTGAGTGCTCTGACAAGTGTTTGCTTATCGACGACTCGAGGCAGTTTTCGTAAGCTAAAACTCCTGTTTGCATTTTTTCCTTATATTTTCATGGGATCGGGAGCAGTAGAACAGTAGCGGATCATCGACCGCCTTTCCAGGTGATTTCTTGTGAATAAGTTAAACAGTACTGCACTGAATAATCGCTCTCAAACGATCAGCCCGACCTTACGGCCAGTGTATCCTTTGTTCTGTCTAGACGCCATCTGCACTCCATGTCCGAGGAAGTAGCTTTGCGTGAATCGTTGCTTGCCGGTATCCCTCACGAGTGGGAAATACCGTGTCGACACATTTCGTGGGACACAGAGAAGCCGCTTGGTCAAGGCTCCTTCGGTACGGTTTTCTTGGGTCGCATGCTGCGCAATTCCATGCCAAACCAGTCCCGTGTTGGGACCATGTCCCGTGTGCTGAGCAAATTCACACCGGACAATAAAGACAGTACAATGTTAGTCGCCGTAAAGGTAGGTTCATCTCCCATCTCCGGATTGATCCTCTTCGCTGTCATCTTTTTCGGCTTACTTTTTTCGTTCTCATTCTAAACCTAACCCGAAATCCTTGAAAGCATTGTACTGCTACTTGAACCACGTTTATACCTCATTTTTCAGGTAATTCAATTTGATCATCCTTTGTTTCAAATAGTTAGATTTCTAATGTTTGCGACCGAGTCATAACCCAGAAAGCTAGTGCTGCGAGGTGGGTTTCTTGGAAAACGCTTGCAAATGCGGCTGGTGCTGTATCAGGTACAGACTTNACAGACTTAATGAGACAGTTTGGCAAGCGATCCAGTGGTCAGCTGGGCAGTTTGCTTGTGTTCTACTTTTGTGATCCCAGGTACTTTCCGCAAATGTGTCGTTAAATTCACACTGCTGATCAGACCCAACAAGATCGAAACAGCTGTACAGGGTTTCCTAGCTTTTCGACTCACACTTTCTTTACAATTTCCACGATGAACCTCACCTTGAAAATACTACAGGTTTCAATATCCGTCGCCAGCAGCTGAGCACGCACAGCGTACAGAGAATTTTAGCGGCGTTCATTCACGTTGGTTACCGAACGATTCCAATAACCCAGGATGAAACACCCGAATGATCCTCAGTTTTCATACTCATTAAAGTGCGACAACAGACACTTGCCATCGGAGAAAGGCATGCAAACTGTGTGTACTAGTTCATGTCGTAGTTTGGTTATGTATTAGACTCAGTGGTCTTGTTCGCTGTCAGAGTACCAAGCGAACCAAATCGTTCATTTCCGTTTAACAAGTTTTGACCGCAAGGTTCCTCATTGGTATTCCCTCGACTCATTTTAAAACTTATCTTTCCTGACAGACTGTTGGACCCGAAGCATCTGCGGATGATATTCGAGAATTTCTCAGCGAAGCGGCATTTATGAAAAACTTCTCATGTCATCACATTGTTCGCATGCTGGGTATTACCACGTCTGAGGTAAGATCACTAAGATTTATTCTCATATGTGACCACACTGAACTGCCATATTTGTTTTCAAATGCATTTCATACTTCCTTCAGATAGACTGTCATAAACAACCTTATCTTCTCTTTGTGGACAAAGAAAAAATGTGATATATCATCACCGGATGTTCGCATCTCACACTAGCACCCCCTACGTTTCCGAGGTACCTGTAATTTGTCTCTCACTTACAGAAGATTGGTTATAGGATGGTCAATGTATCGAAAGAAGTAATTTACTTGTAACAGAATCCCATCTGGTTGAAATGCGTAATTTTTTGCCCCATGCCAGATTTGGACTTCTTCTTCTCTTCCCGGAGCGGTGACCTAAGTTGCACAGTCGAAAATCGGCATCTTGAGCCCAACGCCCCGGTCAACATGTGGTTTTAACCCATGCAAAGAAAATTAAATTATGCTAAGATATTCCCAGTTTAACTGGTCGTGTGAATACTGGGTGCGAACAAGCGTGTTTTTAATAGAGGATCAAACTGATGTGTACAGACAAATTTATAATGGACTGAACAGGTGATGGAAAGCGACACATAAGAAATTGGAGTTTAGAATGAGATGATTTTGTTGGGTGGTGGTGGCCAAGTGGTCACCAACTTGTGACCTCGTAATCCCAGGTTCGAAGCGCTCCACCGCCGCCCGTCTTCCCACCCAGACAGCCTTTGTATGGCCGCAATCCCCCTTCCGGAATGTTGACTGTACACTTGTATGTTCAATAAATAAAAAGGAAGTAAGAAGACACTTCAACAGACATGTAATTGTGATTATTAGGATGTGTAAGAAAGAGAGAAACGGGTGATTGTAACTGAGAGTTTACGAACGGAGGTTATCTCGCTATAATATAAGTGGGTAGCCATTGCATGGTTAATGTTGTTATACACTGCCTCTGGGCGCTCACCTGGCTACTGCCGGTTGCCGACTTGTGTTCTCATTTTCTTTGAATTTTCTCTATTGTTTTCTTTCGTCTACACCGATACAGCAACCTCTGTGGCATACTCCGCCTGCATTGGTGATGGAGTGGATGGCCTTGGGCGATCTGGCCTCTTATTTGCGTCAACGTGAACGTAGAGATGATTGTTCGGACGGAGTAGTCAAGCCCAAATTAGCACTAACCTGGGCCGCTCAGATCGCGGACGGAATGTTATTCCTCAGTGATCGGAATTTGGTACATCGTGATCTGGCCGCACGAAATTGCCTGGTGGATAAGCAACTCACGGTGAAAATTGCCGGTAATTGCCCCCTCCTCCACATATCCCTTTGGTTGTCCATGCCTGTGTGCTGATAGTGATCGAATGTTTGTAACTTCATGGTTGATCCCGTTTTGAGTGAAGTGCTGGCGTTATAATGGACGTCTACTAGGCTAATGTGGCCCATACTGCAATATTCTGCTCCACTTTTCCAACTCTTCACTCCATGCATTCTGCATTTGCAGATTTCGGCTTGGCTCGTTGTATGAGTGCGGATGAGTACTACCGTCGACGTGGTCAAACCCGGTTACCTATTCGTTGGATGGCACCGGAATCACTGAATCAATCGTACTTTACCACAAAATCTGATGTGTGGTACGTTTCCTTATTCTAACCCCATTATTCGCATACACATGCAAGTTCAGCAATGTTCAGTTACTCAGTGACGTTGAAAAATAAGTTGTAAACTGTTCCCAGT